GCTTCTTTGAATAGGGAGGGGTGGTAATCAAAAATTGACGTAATTTTATAGGGGGTTTCTGGAAATTTGACAAATTGTTGACAAGGGGGAGGGGGAGGTTAAAATTTTTAAAAAATTGTTGACGTAGTTAATGGACAGCTCCTTATAAAGTTTACTGCCTCTATTTTTTAATTGTTTACGCATTCTATATGGAATAAATTATTTTTCAAGATGGTTCATCAAATCCCGAGTATTTCAAAAAATTATACTAATTATATTTTTACTTAATAATGCAAACATACAAACTTATTTTTAGCAGACATTCTGAGAAAAAGTTTGTGTATATATATAACGGTTAAAAGTATTATCAGTTAAGAATCGTATAAAAACATCAGTCATACTAATATATAATTTTATTCCGTAAGCTTTATCTTTTATTTAAAAATCTAATACTTTGATTATCACTTATGTTAATTCCGTTAAACTTACTTCAAAAAGAAACAATTTAGGTTTATTTTAAACTTACGGAAACTTGTTAAGCACGTCAAAGCCTTGAAATTAAATAGAAAACTCACGATACTTGACAGGTTTTATTGAAACACGCAAAAGAAAAGTTACTTAATTGGCTAAAATAAGACAATCCAACTTTATTATTTCGGCACATACATTTTTTATTATATAAATTGTTTTAGGAATACAATTTCGTTATGGTCCCAAATACATGCATCCTACCCAGGGCCGGCGCGAGTAGGTGTCACGTGGGAACGGGGTGCCATTACTACTTTTGCCGACGAAAAAAAAAAAAGGTCCTCGTTTTTTAAAATTTGCCGACTGCCATAATGACATTTGCCGACTGAATGTCTAAATTTACCGACTAACTTGTCAAAAGGGTCTACATTTGCCGACTAACTAGTCAAAAAGGGTCAAATTTGCCGACTAAATGAACGAAGAATTTTTATTTTATTTTTGAACATTTTATTTTGCTCTTGGGGAAATGTTACAACCTACATAAATTTACAAATAAAAATGATGGCCGTACCAAGAAGAAGACATTATTTTTGTCTTATCACGGAGCAACGTGCCACAATATATATTTTTACAAAACGTTTTTAAAAAGTATAAAGTATAATTTAAGAAATAAGATAAATATTTACAAAAATATTACCATTAAAATAAGATCACCTTAATTAATTGGTAATACCATGAATAAATTAGATAAAATAAAGAAACAAAAAAAAAGAAAAAAAGAAGAAAAAAAAAAAAAAAAAGAAAGAAAGAAAAAGAAAATACTAAAAAGTTAAAAAAAAAAACATAGCGATTAATTACAATGATTCATGTCTGTAATTATTTAATTTAGTTTTTGAACTTATAGGGGCATTGAATTTAAGATTAACTTAAATTGATTACATTGTTTTTAGGTTGATCTAGTGTTTTAGATGATTATATTTTATTGGTCTATTTTAAAAGAAACAAAATAAATCAACATCTGTGTGTAAGAAACACCGCTTTGATTTAATTTTAAACTGATTAAGCGGCATATTCTTCTCTGCAAAAATGATTGGAAAACTTTTCCACAAAAATGACCGCAATTTTAAATACAGTTTTGAATAAGATTTTGGTACAACAAAGTTATTGTTGGAAAATCTTGTAGAATACTTTTGGTGTATTTCTTTAAATAAAGTTTTGAAATATTTTGGAGACAGCCACATTTTGTTATATACATGAACTGAAAAACTAGATGAATGTTAAATTTGAGAATATTCAAGGTGCCAAGTCTACATAAAAGAGGTTCACAAGGAACAGCTTTACCAGCTCCAAATACAATTCTAATTGCATGTTTTTGCTTCCTGCACAGTTTTCTTATCTTAGTGTGATTTCGTACAATTCCGGAAAAATAAAACTCTTTTGGAAGGATATTAACAATCAGGAATGTTGTTTTTTTCGTACCGAATTTTACGAAACAAAAAAACCCGTCGATGATCATTTCGCAAATGCTACTTGCGAAATTTAACCTTTTGACAAATAAATTAAGTTAAATAAAACTATTTTGCTACATACGAAAGTAGTGCATAGTATATTACGGAAGTCGAAACGAGCTCTTTCGCTAAACCATTTTTTGAAGTCTGTAAAGAAAGTTGGCCAAACGGATATAATTGTAAAATATAAAATTTTCATGTATCAAAATAAATATGTTTATTATAAAAAATATGTTTATAATAAATTTTTTTTTCAGTATTGTAGCATAGTAACATTTTAATGTTTTTTTTTTTTTTTGAAATAATGATAAAAAACCGAATTTCTTTCGAAACCAAACCGGAAACAATTTTAAAATTGTTTTCAGAGGCGAAGATCCGGGGAAGGGTTTTTGTATGTGACCACTTTTTTTCATAACAAAATTTTTAAAGAGCTTTAAATCTTTCAGTAGTTGTATGGTCCCAATAACATAGAAGCTCATCAGAACTATACTAGCACTGAAAGTTTCAGAGCTGTAGCTAGTCTGAAAGGAAGTGATAAATTAGTTGCAAGATTCAGTAAGAAGCGACAACTTAAATGTATATAAACACGGCGTAGCGGCAAAATTTATATCTATCTATCTATCTATCTATCTATATATATGTATATATATATATATATATATATATATATATATATATATATATATATATATATATATATATATATATATATATATATATATATATTGTACAGAAAGTTTAAACGCACTTGTTTTTTTAACTTATATAAAATTTTTAAGAAATGATAACCCGATAAATTAATGAGATATGCTCTGTATTTTTATGTTTATTTATACTATGGCTATAAGTTATTAGATTAGATAGAAAAAAAATTGTATAGATATTATAACGGAGGTGGAGAGTGATGAGAAAATTAACGGAGCAATTAACTCCTTTTAATTTTTTGAAATAAAATTTAAACGCACTTTGATAAGAAAACGCGTAAAACTCGTTTATTGAGAGATTTCTTATTGAAGTCTTTTACATTTTTATCAATCAATAGTCTGTTAACGTTAGTATATTACATTTGGATTCTTATTTTTATTTTATTTTGAATAAAAACCACAAATACGATTTGATTTAAAATATATCAATTTTCAACTGATACAGCTTTGTCAAAATATCATATTTTAATGGGTAAAAAAGCCGTTTCGTCGAAAACAAAATGGCAAGTCATAGGAATGCATATAATGAAAATAAGCGATAAAGAAATTAACAGACGCCTACATAGTTCTGAATGCAGCGTTCGTACAACAATAAAAAATTATTTATCAACTGGTAGTGTCAATGATAATCCTCGTACTGGGCGTCCGAAACAACTGACAGCACGCGATGAAAACATGCTTTACATGCTAAGCAGACGTAACCCAAAAGCGGGAGTATCAACTTTAAGTGCAGAAATCAATAGTTCGCTGGTAGACAAAACAGTTAGTCGAATGACTATAAGTAAGTTATTACGCAAGAAAGAATTAAATTCGTTTCATCGCGTAAAAAAGCCTTTGTTGACGTTAACCGATCGCCAAAGACGAAAAAAATAGTGCAAAGAGCGTTTAAATTATTCAGTAGAACAATGAAAAATGATTATCTTTAGCGATGAATCAAATTTCGAAATTATTAACAGAAAAAACAAGAGATTTGTTCGTCGCAAAAATACAGAAAAATATTTGAAGCAACCCCTACTAAGCCGTATTCAAAAAGGCGGTGGTTCCGTCGGCATATGGGGATGTATATCAGGCTCAGGCGTTGGCTGTCATAAAATATGCGAAGGAAGATTAAACCAGTATGAGCAGGCCCGCCCAGAGCTTTTGTGATGCCCGGGTCCAAAAGTTTAATGGATGCCCTATCATACTTCAGGTCTTAAAATAGCAAATAAATTAATATAGTTTACTTTCATAAAAAACCTAAAATCACATTTAATTTTGGTTTGCAAGAACAAACTATGATAAAATGATTTCAAGATCTCTCTTGGCTTTTTTGCTAGTGGCTTAACTAATTCAATCCTTGAACTCCATCGTGTAACAGAAAGTTTATGTAATGATTGGCCTGTCTTCTCCTGAAGAATTTTCCAACGAACTGGGCTGCTGCTGAACAGATTGTATAGCTTTTGAATATTTCTAAAATAGGATTTTGCAGGAGCCGATGATTCAATAGCGTGTACTGCACATAAGTTCAAACTGTGAGCAGAGCAAGGAATGAAAATTGCTTGTGGATTATTCTGTCTTATCAAAGCTTGAACTCCATTGTAAATACCTGCCATAATAGCGCCGTTGTCTTAGCCTTGACCACGACAACTTTTTATGTCGAGCTCATTCTCTTTTTGATTTCTCGAATAACTTCTCGAACCACTAATTTGCCGCATTCCTTGATAAATTCATTTTGTGATTTCCAAGATAAATAATGAGCTTGCATGCGTTTTTCTTCTTCTTGGTGCTTAGCAATAAGATGCATATGATCTTGTAATGTTTTGTTGTGGCGAGCAATTAATTTGAGCGCTCCAAGGAAGTTTCCATTCCCATTTTTGAACAACTTTTGATTGGATCCTAATTACAAACAAAAAATAATCAAAATAGTAATCCATATTTATATCCAATTAAAACTTGTAATTTTGATTTTTAAATTACAAATAAAATAATGCAAAATATAATTTAAAATTTAAAAACAATATTCTTACCCCTAAAAGCTAAGTTTCTTGAGGCTAGAAAAATTATGACGTCAAGAATGCATTGTAAAATTACTTTCCATCGCTTTGTTTCATCTCCAATTTGTTTTTCTAACTGATGCTCAATGGACTTTTGACTTTTCAAGTGAATCGTAGCTGTTTTCCATTGGAGATAACAGTTACGGTGAAAATCGCTTTGTTGATGACTTTTAACGCGATCTGAAAGTTTTCTCCAAATTCCATGTATGTATTCCAAGACAACAAACTGGATTAAACACCGGGTCTGGTTAAGTTAGGCGATCCAAAAAGGGAGCAAGGGAAACAAAAGAGTGATGCCATAGCCTTACTCCAAACGAGCCAATCTCTTTTAACTTTTTTTCCGTTTCTTTGTTCCTCTAAAAAGATATAAGTAGGGAATTTGCGTTCTTTTTGATCTCTTGGAAAATTGCTAGGATTTGAAGAAGGTCCCATCAGAATTATATTCGTTCGATCAGTGTCTGATATTGATTTCCATAGAGCAGGATTGTTAGAGATTGGTATAGAAAGATCACTTTTATAAATTTGTTGGTCATTGTGACAATCAAGTACAAAATCCAACTGATCCTTTTTTAAATGTGATGATGTTTTTTGGGAGTCATCGATGTCATCGGCAAGAAAAAGTTTGTCGGAATTATGGTCTGGCAACTCATTAGAGTCATTGATACCGATCTCAATATCATTGAACTATAAAGAAGGTTTAAACAGAATTATTCTATTTATTTTTTCATGAACGTTACAAGATTAAAAAATAGTTTAACTACCTGCTTGCATTTATCTTCGATTTTTGTCCAACGAACGCAATCTAAAAGCGTTCGTTTGTTTTTGCTTTCGTTTTTTTTTTCCGAATCATCGCTCTTTTTCTCCCAGCAGCTCCAGACAGCTGTTTCAATCGTGGAGGTCTTTGATTATTCATGCTAAAACTTATGACGATATAAAGAATTTTAACTTTTTAAATTTTAAAAATTAAAAACTTTATAATACTTTGGTGTTATTAATTGCAGAGAAAAAGTCAGTACTTACAATTAAAATATCCACTGAAGATAAGTTTCTTGTCAAAATATAGTCGAAACAAAATGCAGGCGAGTCAAAAACATACATATGCACAAAAGTATCCACAGGGACGCAAGGTTTAAGCAAAAATAAGTTAAACTATCAGAAGTCAGGCTTTTACAAACGTTAAATAAGAAAAAAAAAATTTTAACGCTTTTTATTTTATCATGCGAACAAAAGGCCAATGAAAACGCGTGCGTTCAAATAGATAATGAAAACCTTGTAAAGTAATAATTATCCTATTTTAAATGCAAACAAAGTTTAAAAGGAGAAAGAAATTAATACACAAAAATTGCTTAATCTTTAAATACGTTATCAGCTAAATTTTTTATCATTTCAATAATTTTTTTTTTAAGGCATGTGATGCCCCATAGACTGTGATGCCCGGGGCAAACTACTTCAATTGTCCCCCTCTCTTGGCGGCCCTGAGTATGAGTATCGTGACATTTCGGAAAACGCGCTTATCCCTAGTCGCGATTTGTTCCAGGCTGATCAAAACTGGTTATTTCAACAAGACAATGCTCCATGCCATACAGCGCATTCAATCACTGATTATTTCCTTAAAAGTAATATTCAACTTATGCCTTGGCCAGCACGACCACCAGACTTAAACCTGATTGAAAATTTATGGAGCTGGATGGATTATCAACTAACAAAAAAGCAAATATCTAGTCATGAAATGCTCAAACAAGAACTGACCAAACTGTGGCTTGAAATACCAATCAAGATGATTGAAAACTTAATCGAATCAATGCCAAGGCGAATACAAGCATATATTAAAAACAACGGGAGTCATATTCCGTATTAATATATTTCGATTAAAAGAAGTTGTAGGTGCGTTTAAACTTTATTGCACTTTCTTCTAAGTAATCTTTTGATTACTTGAGTTTGTTGTTTAATTTCAGAAGAGATTTTATGTTTTTCTTATTCAAAGTTGTGTTTTTTTCTTAATTAATAATTGGCTAAGAATATTAAAAAAAAAATCTGGACCCTGCCTCGTGTTTTCTTTTTGTATCACTTTAAACATACCTAAACTTTTTAAAAACAAGTGCGTTTAAACTTTCTGTACAAGGTGTGTATATATATATATATATAAATATATAAATATATAAATATATATATATATATATATATATATATATATATATATATATATATATATATATATTATAAATATATATATATATATATATATTAATATATATATATATATATATATATATATATATATATATATATATATATATATATATATATATATATATATATATATATATATATATATATATATATATATATATATATATATATATATATATATATATATATATATATATATATATATATATATATATATATATATATATATATATATATACGAGGTTCGTCTTTCGATGTCAAAATTTTTAAATTATTTTTTAGTTAGTGCTCAAAGGTTGTTTTTTTTTTTTTGTTGCTGCACACAAAAAACTGTTTTTTTTTTGTTGCCGTACATAGTTACAGCCGTAGGCGCAACGCATTGCGCCTACGGCTGTAACTATGTACGGCTGTAACTACTCCGTTAACGGAGAGTACACATCGGCTAAGTAAGATTTTTACAATCAACATGTATATACATCAACTGAGGGTTTGGTTTGGTCAGATATTCTTTTTATTTTATCAAATAATTTTGGTCACAAAATTGGAGACATCCTATATCGAAGACCCCCTTCTTTCTCGTAACAAATTGACACAAAATTGCTTTCCTCTCCGCCCCTCCTTCCTCAAGCGTGACAAAATTTATAAACGAACCCTAAGAAAATACTAGGAGAATGTATTGTTGTTGTTGTTGTTGTTGTTGTTGTTGTTGTTGTTGTTGTTGTTGTTGTTGTTGTTGTTGTTGTTATTCTTGTTGCTCTTGTTGTTGTTGGAACTAACATGTAAGTATAATTACTATATATTATTCGGAATTTTGCTTTTTTTTTCGGAAAAAATTGATTTCTTCGGAACTATAAAATTATATGATGTAATGCATTTTAATGTATCGTAACAACAAATATTGATAATAACCATTATAGCGAATAAAAAAGACCGAGTGTTAAAATTGCTAAAAATTTCATAAATAAAATAGGAAGTGATTTTAAAAAGACAATTTTGTCTTAATAAAGTTGAAAAAATATAATATTACATAAAATTAAGGTATTTTTATTTATTTTTTATTTATCTACATATAAATACTTTTAAAAAATAAAGTTAAAACAAGTTTTACAAGTTGATTTTAAATAAAGTTTTAATCAAAAATTAAAAAGACGTAGAAAAAATAAAAACGCATGTATACAAATTAACGGACTAGTTAATATGTGTAATGTTTAGTGTGCACAGAAACTAAATAACATCACTAATGTTTGACTTTTCACACATCACACAATGTTTGACTTTTCGATTTCTTGATTTTTTAAATATGTGCCTAAAAACTGTAAATTAGTTATTTAAGTTTATTATCAATTAGTAGTTGAATGAATGTTTCATTGGTGAAAATTTTACAATAATAAATTTGCAATAAGAGAAAAATTATTGCCCATATTTGATGCCCATATTTGAAAAATAATATTGTTTTGATATGTGTGTAATAGATAAACCAGTCAAACTCATTATAACGATAATATTACTTTATAAAAACAGCTTGGATTAATAAATTTTTTTTTTACCTCTTGAGGTGATAGAAATACAAAAGTATTTACTTTAATGTATTATAATATTTTTATAGGTAAGTTTTTTTTTCAAAATATCATTTTCATTAAGGATAAGGCTGGATACCATTCTGTCTTGTTCCCCCCCCCCCCCTCGTTTTAGGCACTGTATTTTTTTTCTGTATCATACTAGAAATCTCAATGTAATGTTTTTTATATGCAATGCAAAAGTTGTTGCAAAGTCCGTGGGATGAAAGTATAAAAAATTTGGTTTGTTATTTTTTGGTTGTCTGATTTTAGGTGGCCATTTTTCTCTAATTATCTGCTCATGCTATTAATTATTCGTCAATCAAAATGCCTAAATTTATATTATTGTGAATATTTTATATTAATATTTAAAAAATATTTTAATTATTAAGGTGCAGTAAATCTCTAATTGTTAAGATAGGTGCATTAAATCTGTTTTGATCTTTTTAATTAATGTCTAATTAGTCTTCCTAATATTATTATATAAATCTATGAAAACTACAAAGACACAACAGCAAAAGTATGTTTGTTTTTTTTTAAACTATTTTTTCAATTTTTTGAAAAAAAGGATCTGTAGACAGTGATAGACAAATGTTTTGGCAAAATTCTAACAACCGGCTCACATATATTTATACTATTTGCCCTCACCTATTAAATTTTATTTTTATATAAATATTTATTTTAAGAACTTAGTAATTAACTGTTTAAATTTAGAATGTTTTTAGCTATAAAGATTTTATTTGAGTTAAGATCATGTGGTAATAAGTTACTGATAATAAATTACTGAGGTGATAATAAGTTAATTAAATATTTTTAAATTGAGTTTTTTTAAATATTTAATTAATTTTTAAAAAGTTAACTAAAATTAAAGATAAAATTAGAAACAAATAACCATTTAAAATAACTTTGATTTTACTCAAAGCTCCTTTTTTAATTTAATAAAAAATTAAGCAAAGGAGAGTTATCTCAAGATATCAACACGCGCTATAATTAATTCTTTAGTTATTTACTTTAAGATTTTGAAAAAAAAAAAAATTTAATTTTAAGTTGTTATAACAAAAGTTAAAAAATTTTATTTTTCATGTTTTTAAATTGTTTTTCTTCCAAGGTTCTTCCTCCATACTTCCCTTTGTAGTTGTGCAGGAATAACAGTGAAATATCACTTCTTTTCTTTTCTGGCAATATCAATGTTTTCCTTTATAAGTTTAATGGTTTTTTTAGAGCATTCACACAACAAAACCAAAAATTAGTTGAATCACTTTTATAGGTTTTTTGTCGTACTTCTAACCCTCTCAATTCAAATATCATATTAGTTTTGGCTTTTTTTCATAAAACTGTTTTACTAGCATTTGGTATTTTCTGTATTGAATATAGTTTAACATAATCCTAGCATTTTCTTGAAATTGTAAACTATCTGCAGACATATATGTTATATTTGTGGTTACTATATTGAGTCAAAATAGTCAAACATCAGTTATTGTGTGGAACCATGCTATGGATAAATATTGTGCACTTTGGGATCCAAATAGATAAATAGGACAAGAAATGAGCTATTCATGTGTCATGTGGTACTTGTAGATCAGCTTTGGAGAGCTGGCTAAATCGAGATAGAAAAACATGCCATTTGCTATTCCTCTTGTGTGGAAAGAATGAATCACACAACAGTAGTAAAAATGAGATTTTTTGCAATCATGGCCCCTGCAAAATTATAAGATTTAGCAAGGGCTGATAGCTGGGGCTAGAAAAACGTTTATAATACTTTTTGTATTATAAATTTATACTTATATTTACTGTTTGTTATATACTGGCATATAGGGGAAAGCAGGTAGGATTCGTACACTTTTTACACTAAGTCGTATAAAAGCAAAAATAACTACTATTTTAAAATAATTTTGATGCTGCTGAGTAACCTAAATATCTGGCTTTTATAATATTGTAGTTTAGTCTTGAAAAAAGCTAACAAGACAGTACTATGATGTCTTTTGCAAAAAAATGGAGATCGTACGAATGCACCCCAAACGCGGGGTAGCTTCGTTCAGTTTTTTGTTCGGTACTTTATTACTAAGTTAAAAATATATTTATTGAAAATAAACATTTATTAAGTTTAAAACTGAAACAAAATAAATATTAAACATAATAAAAATAAAATTATATATCCTATATGCAGAGAATACATATTTTCTCAAAAGCTTTTCTAACTTCTCCTAGATATCAGTTACAGCTGTCTGTTTAAATGCGAAATAAAGGATGAATATTGTTATTTATTAAAGATACTTGAAATAAAGAAGAGTGTAGGTCTTCAAGAATAACTTTATTACTGTTAGCTGCAGTTAGTAAGAAATAGTTTAATAATCTTAAACCTTTATATAAAGAAACTAATAACAGAATGAAGACTAATTGTAGGACAGTTGATGAGATCAAAGTGTTTTCTAGAGTTTTGAAAATTTGGAACCACTTATTTAGCCCTATTTAAAAATTAAATATTATTAAATATTATATAATTAATAAGATTAAATGTTATACTTACTTTAGTTAATGACATTGTTGAAGACTAACAAAAAAGTTTCTAGAACCTAGCATCTGATTTATACTTATATTTACTGTTTGTTATATACTGGCATAATTTAGTAAACTGAGAATAACAGCTTAACATCAGATGGGACCTTTTTAGATTTGCTTCTTGAAGTAATAAAAGGACATTTGTTTTAAAGAGAGATTTTCTTGTGAAAAAGATAAAATAAATGATTAATAAAGTAACTGCTCAAGATGGTGAAAAATATGAAGTAGAATAAGGTTTAAGTTAAAATTGAAGAGTAGGAATAAAAGCTTCCAAACTTTTAGTCCAGAAGGAATAAAAGCTTCTGAGATGCGCTTTATGCATTCATGTTATAAATATAAACATAAATGTTTTCTATTTATTTAGATGTTGGCATACAATATCCTTTATTATTTATATAAATTTTATTATCTATATGGTGTAGTATTTGCCGAAAGAGAAGATGATGATGATCATGATGATTATGATGATGTTTATGATGATGATGATGATGATGATGATGATGATGATGATGATGATGATAATGATGATGATGATGATGATGATGATGATGATGATGATGATGATGATGATGATGATGATGATGATGATGATGATGATGATGGTAATAATGATTATGCTGATCATGTTGATCATAATGATATTTATATATGCGTATATATACAAAATATAACATTAATTTTGAATTAAAAAAAATATACTTTAGGATGTATAAATGTTTATGCAACTCCAGTCACAAACTCTGTCCCGGCCCTGACTATATTTTATCAAACCTGGCCCTGGCCCTGGTCAAATATCAGGCATGTTCGTTTACTATATATTTTTCTAAGATCCCTTTCATATTGATTGAAAACTAATTTCTTTAGTTACTTTTACTCTATGCCACATTTTTAAGTTTACCTCGGAAAACAAAAACATATGTATCAAATATTTAAAATTGACCTGTTAATTTTAGATATTTTTTATTTAAAGTGTTTTTAAATCCAGTGTTATTAATTTATATAAAACATTTAGAGTTTTGAAAAATTATTTTAAAAAAGGGACATCCTAATATATATATATGTATGCAAATCCAAGTTTCACGTTGTTTGCCCATCTATTCCAAAAGAAGATAAAGTAGCCAGCAAAACCACAGTTTCAAATTTCCTTCTCCCTTCAACTAAGAAAAATTTTCTGTTCTTTTGTGATGTATGTTTAACCAACCTAGAAATAAATTTATCTAAATCTGAAACATTAAGGCTGAACACTCTAGAATGTAATGTTACTGATATCAAAACTCAACTCAATGAAATGAAACAACTGTTAAACAAAAACTCAAGTGACACCAAATTGGAAAAAGATAATTTATGGTTTAACGAGGAAAGATTAAAAACAGTGAAAACTCTAACTCCAGACTCTCTTTTAGTTATCGAAAAATATCTGATGAAAAAACTAACAAAAATAACATGGATATAATTGAAAACAGTTATGGATAATAATATTCAGTTAAAAAATTTGTATCATAATAAATCAGGGGATCTCGTCCTAGTATGTATTCTACTAATGTAGAAGAATCTAAAGACCAATTGATGAATTCTCTCAAAGACAGGGACAATCAAATAAAAGTAAAATCATATCAATTGAAGCAAAAAGTTATCATCAGTGGTTTACCTAGAGAGTATAATGAAAATGAAGTTGTTAATATGTTACATTCACAGAACAGTTTTATCCAAGAATTTAGCAAGGTGAACAACATCAAAGATCATTTTAAAATAGAAACTATCAAACCGATAAAAAACCAACCAACAATGTTTCAATTTTTTGCAAAAATAAGCAAAACATTATGAGAAGGCTTTCAATGTTATAAAAACAAAGTCACACTTGGATTAACGTCCTGCAGAATATATGACAAACTCGATGTAATGCGCTGATTTAATTGTTTTGAA